TTATTTATTTTTTATTATTTTTGTTATTATCTATATATAATATGTTATTGATATTGTTAGTTAATTAATTGAATATTAGAAAAAATATTAAAAAGATTTAACAACATAAGACCTTATTTTTTCCCCTGAAAAATGTAACCGTTTAAATTGTGAATTTTAGATCAAGGTTTGAAAATGAGTTCTCAGGTCATGTGGATTCCAACATGGCAGCTGTTAGAGGGGATGCGTTTGATTTGTTTAAACAATGTTTCTGGGCCTTATGGCGCTTTGTGTTTGACGCTGTTGGCTTTGAACAAAAGCGTCCAGAGGCAGAAACTTGCACGTCCATGAAAAAGCAGCCGATTGTGTGCTAATTGTGCGTCGTTGTGGGTCTTTGTTGTCCTCCTTCTTCTGCTGAACGAGGCCAAAGTCTTCCCGGGGTCAACCTTGACCATTCCCGCTAACGCTGACCTCTTTATCCGCCTTAATATGTCTCATCTTCATCACTGTGTTACTGTTCCCTGCATAAATTCAAAATAAACTCCTGAGACTGGAGGTGCTACCTGGTTGAGACAGGATTCAGAACCCAGAAAACACAAGCCTCATGCGTGCTTTTTCTGGGCAGGACAAAGGGAATTAAGATGCCTTTTTTAAAGACACGGGGGTTGAATTGAATGTTTTGGTTGCTGGCACTAAGAGGTCACTACGTGGATAAAATCACATAAACTGTGAACTCTGAACTGTATCTCTAAATTCTACATTTCTAAAAGCACTCCTGGAGTCTGGAATAGATGGAGAAGAGGGGCTAATGTTTGATGGCCGAGTTAGTAAAGAGTTAAACCAGAAAACAGGAGAGAGGAGGATAATTTTGTAATGTGATTGGACCATCGGCAGGACTGAGCTGGAGGCTCGCTGCTGATTGGATGGTTTTTCCGTATGAAAACATCCAGGATCATTTTTGGGACTTTGACTTCCAGACACAGTCAAGAAAAGACTAAATGAAATGTGACAACGATGTAAAACCAAACTGGTCAGTTCAATTAAATTAAACCTGATCAATGACTCTAAAAGTTTATGAGAGATTATGTTTAAAAGGCAATTAATTTGATCATTTATAGATTCAAAAAATGAAAATAGAAATGACAAAACGTAGTGATGAATAAATAAGATTTTTTTTTATGTTGGATAATAAATTTAAAGTTTTTTTAATTTGATTTTTTTAATTATTGGGCACATTTTTTAGTAATAATCAAGAAAAAACAGGATAGTCAATACTTAATCAATTTAAAAGTGGTTTGATGAATCATCACGTAAATAAAAAACTATCATTGTTTTAACGTTTAATTCAGGGTGTTCCTGTATTTGAAAAATCTCTTTGAAGATTTACTTTTTCAATGATCTATTTTAGCCATGAAACTAGTAAAAACAAAACATTTCTCAGCCCATATACTTCATTATTTAAACAAGTTCAGTTTACAAGTATGTCATTTTCATTTCAGTTAAAGACTTTCAATCGTCTTTTTTTTTTTGTGTTGTCAATTTCCAATTATTTGGGCCTAAAACAAAAACCACACACGTATAGAATCTGCTTATTTTCCCTGTGCAAGCCTGGATTTTGGAGGCTACTTTAGCTTCTTCCTACATAAGAAACCTGTTAAACACACACACACACACACACACACACACACACACAACCAACCCATGCGGCAAATCTGATTATGACTGGTGTGTGCGACTCTTTTGTTGCACAAAAGGCCGATTTTGTTGAGAGGGGGGTCATATATTGACGCTATCCGCACATAGGTTTGGACCCAATTGGCTTCCGGTCAGTTCCGGTCAGTCTGTCGTCGCTCCTTACAGAATAAAGCCGTTATCTTTTGTGATTTTCATATTCTTATGCTCGTGTGTGTGTATCTGGATGCTGGTGTCAGAAACCCTGCATATGTCACTGAGAGTTTAGATGCTTTGATCAGATATTATCACATTATTATCACATTATCACATATTAGCACTTTTGATTTATCAACAAAAAGACACATAATCTCATCATTGTTTGCCCACTTACAAAGAATGCAACGATCTATAACTTTAATCACATGTACATTCTAACAGTGAAAGACAGAATCCCAAAGAAAATTCTGGGCAAATCTGCAAAATCAGCAAGGGGTCAAATACTATAATATTTCCCCCACTGTACTTTTAATTCATTATGGGCAGCTTTACTGCGTATGAATTATTATTTATTATGAATTATGAATTACGCACACGTTTAAATGCTCTAATATTGATACAACTGCCGGAACGCTGCTCAAATTCTTTATACAGCAAGAAATAGATTACTTCCTGCACACATACAACAATTGTTTACAGATTGAGATGGAAAATATCTAAGAGGAAAATTAAATTTCAAAAGTAAGTGTGTTCGAACAACAAAAAGAACCTTCAGTTTATCAGTTAGAGTGAAGCTCTGGAACAGCTTGCCTGAAAATATTAAACAATGTAAAAGCATCCAGCAATTAAAAAAACAATATAAGAAAAGTATTTTTGATGAATACAAAAAAGAATAATACATAAAAAGTTATACTGTTTGTCTTACTGTAATCGTCCTTTACAGAATCAGAATCAGAAATCAGAAATACTTTAATAATCCCAGAAGGAAATTATTTTTGTTACAGGCTCCATAAGCAAAACAAAGGCATATACATATATACATGTCTATACATATATACATATATATATATATAGACAAAATTCCTCATAAATATAGCTAGGTATATACATAAAAAACAATATGTGTATATGTAGGTCAAAATGAGAGGTGGATAGTGTCAATGATTAAGATTGACCACCATGAAACATGTAACTGAGGGGTAGGGTTAATAAGCTAATGCTTCATCCTACTCCTTTTTGAAACATGATGCATGTTTAGGAAGTATTCTATGTAAACATTGTAAAATCACGTCACGTTTCAAAATAAACTAAACTAAATGAACGCCACGGTTATTATAGCAGACCCTGTTATTTATTGCGTTACCGTTACGGACACGTTTAAATGCAACTACCGGAACGTCACGGTTTGAAGTTGCCCTTTTGCAGGAGCTCCTACAGGTTCTCCACTAAAGGTTCTCCACTAAAGGTTCTCCACTAAAGGTTCTCCACTACAGGTTCTCCACTCGGACTGCCCACAAGGAACAGAGTCCTTTTTTCAGACATAACGGCTGGTCACATGGTCTTGTTGTCTTTCTTTCTTCTTCTTTTTTTATTTTTTTATTTTTTGTTCTCTCTCCCCCCTCTCTCTCTCTCTCTAAAGGATCTCTCTCCTTTCCACTACCCTTCCCTCCCCCCTGTCCCTCTGTCAGGTTCGGTATTATTGGACGTATGGAAGTTTGGTAACAAAAATGAATAAATATAGAAGTTTTGGGTAATCAAGGGGGGGTTCTCACTAACAAAGCCTCCCCTTGGCAAAGCAATTTTGCTCAGCATAGCACGGTACGCAGATTTCAGTTCTGCTACCATAATGCTGAATAGGTACGGAGCCCCCTAGGGGACATGGGGAATTTTTTTTTCTTTTGCGTTCCCTCGCAATAATTTTGCGTTCCCTCGCAAAACCTTTTGCGTTACAACGCAAAAGTTTGAGGGAGCGTTCCGGAACCAGACGACAATGGAGCAGTGTACTGTCTGCTATTCTGCATACTGACTGCGTTGGGTGCTTTCTAAAACCTCAGACTATGAAGTTATATAAAGCACATATACATTTTTTTGCATCCATGCTCTGTTGTATATGTTTTAAGTCATGTCAAGTCAAATTTTATTTATAGAGCACATTTAAAATAACCGAAGTTGCCAAAGTGCTGTACAGGTCAAAATAAACATAAAAAGCTAACATAACTAACATTTAGCAGACAGTACGAGTGTACTGTCTGCTCCATTGTCGTCTGGTTCCGGAACGCTGCCTCAAACTTTTGCGTTGTAACGCAAAAGGTTTTGCGAGGGAACGCAAAAGAAAAAAAATTCCCCATGTCCCCTAGGGGGTTCCGTAAATAGGACAAGGTAAAAAAAAAAAAAA